AGCCTCAAGGATCAGAGGACGACAGCAAATTCTTTCCTGGAATTGATGCGAAAAACTGTTGCATCAGGACCAAAAAGAAAATCTGACACGCAATGGCCGTGCCGGCATCGCCAATAAATAAACTCCGTGTGAATTCATTACGACTTTTCCATGTATTAATACAATAATATTTTTAATATCAGGGCCCCCGTGTGATAATATCATACTATATCTCTATATTCTTTTAATATATCTATCTACGCTATCTATTGTACTATATATATATATTATCCTGATCTGAAGTAATTAAGACTGTCGAGGCCGTGTTACTATTTCAGTCTGCAGATAGGATAACTTTTAACCACAATTACTGGCCTTAGCATTGGACCAGCAACAATACCAGTCACAAAGGACTGAGCGTTTAACCTCAGCAATTTGAAGTTATGTTTCTCTTTTTTTAAAGTACGTAAGTAAGTATTTTAGTCTTTAGTGTCCCCCAACGATTAAAATACTCAACTCAAAAGTGATATTTTGTGATGAAGATTGTTTAATAATGCTGTCTCAGAGTGCAGGAAATTGCATCTAAGAGGTATAATTTTTAAAAAACATTCTCGGGGAGGGCCCCCTGACGCCCATTTATCATGTCACGGGGAGTATTTGACTCCAGACTCCCGTTAATTTCGCTCCCTGTATATAGAATAACTGTTCGGGTGCAGCCTGTGGCAGCAGACAGCCGCTTACTTTCTTGGTTTACCCTGCTACATTAAATACTTGTGACAAGCCTGGTATGCCTAATAAACACAAAGCTAATATTTTTATTAATCATGGAATAAATTGAACACAATTAAGGGCCTGTTCAAACTAGTAAGGGCCTGTTCCATTTGTCTAAGGGCCTGCTAAAATGTTGGGTGGGCCTGTTCACATTTTGGCTAATTTCTTGCCCTGTACGCATCGTGGGTAGTGTAGCGACAGCACTACTACTGGCTCGCCTTGGTGTTAACAAGTCAATAAAATTTGCGTAACGTGTCATTTTATTGATGGGGCAAAGCAGCCCAAGAATAAAAGTAAATTAAATGAAAATGAAAACACGAACTTTCAGAGGAGATGTGCCTTGAGTTTTTGAGAAACGTGATCAATGAATTACATGTGCAGTTAATGGTGTTTTTGTGTTTTTTCACTATTGTTTGACAAGCATTTTTGTTTTAAAATTTGGGCGAGTACAGATTCCATTTGGGCGTGTTAACTTATTGATTCACTCGCCCAGTTTGGCGAGTGGTTTTTATTTTAAAGCTCTAACACTGTAGTATAGCAGAAATTTTCAGGGAGTCACACGGACTCTTGCATATGTCAAATCAGGGAGTCCGACAGTAAATCGGGGAGTATTTGACTCCAGACTCCCGTTAATTTCGCACCCTGTATATAGAATAACAATGGCATTGCTATTTGATGTCAATTGATTACCATATTGTAAGCGTTGAAATCTTGTGAATGTGTTCCGAGCTGATGATATTAATCACTCTGTCAAGAATTATCCGGTTAAATTTTTAGCACGAAAATATTCACGTTTATTGTAAGTTGTTTGCATTTTTTTATTTTTTTTTATTGTTTGCATTTTTAGCCGGTGAATTATGCAGAAAAGAACTGGATGGAAGAAGAGTATTCTGGTGGATGTTATACCAGTGGTATGCCTCCAGGTGTACTCACAAAGTATGGCAGGTATGAGTGGAAAAACAAAATTGCAAAATTGAATAACTAGTTACAATATGCAAAGTGGAGTATTTTTGTGCATATATATGTATTGTCATCATAGAATTGTATAGACTGGACTGTACCCTGCCCTGTGTCACTCGGTATACTAATGAATTTCTTGGGTAGTGTATTGGCTAGTGAATTTCTTTGGTAAAATTCTTGCTGCTAGTGACAAAATGTTTCTTTAAATTTGAAATAATTATCTCTATATTAGTAGTTCAATTTTACTAATTCCGTGTTGATTTCCCAGAGTTCTGAGAGAGCCTTTTGGGGATATCTACTTTGCTGGCACAGAAAGCGCCACCTATTGGTCTGGCTATATGGAAGGGGCCATACAAGCTGGTGAACGAGCTGCTAGAGAGGTAAATTCCTATCAAAGTATTGTAATGTACATAAGTCATTAAGTTCACAAACATACAATTACTGTGGATGAATTGTGAATAATATTTCTATAGGTGTACAAATTCTTGCATGCTAGTAACCTAATTAGTTCACATAGTAATGATTGAAATTCAGGATGACAATACCTAATAATTTTTCCTATATAAACAGGGTTGATATGCTGTTTCATATCTTTATTATTTTTTTTTATAGTTATTATTATTATAAATACTTTACTTACAACTTCTGGAGCTTCAGGCATGAAGTAGGGTAAATCTGTCTGTGTGCACAAGAACATTCAATAAATGAAATATGTTAGGTTAGCAGCACTTTGTTGATTGCACTGTTGTGGTTGCCTTAACCAGTAATCAATCAATTTGGAATCTCTAGACGAGTCAAATCATTGCGTTTGTAACTTATTATTTTTTAGGTTCTTGCTGCGATGGGAACAGAGAACCCAAGTAATATTGATCCCATTGAGCCAGCAGATGCAGATGTTTCAGACACTTTCATTGGACCAAGTAGGTTGGAACTCATGTTGCCATCTCTGGGAGCGTTGCTGACACTTTCCTCAATAGGTGGAGCCGTCATCGCATGTGCTGTGGCATACAAATATATTTGACTGTAGTATGTTGTCCCTGAATGTTGTATAATGCTAGGTCAAACAATGCTAGGCAGGCCACATGACTACTTCTTAGCTAATAAGCTCATAAATTGCTTGTAGTGTATATGGTTTAATTTTCAAGAGATGGATTATTTCACAATATGGATATAAGTACCTCACTAATTTAGCAAGAAATATAATTGCTTGCAATAGCAATACTTGTGTATGAGAAATTAAGTTTTTGTTATGCATGTTGAAATCATGTTTTTCTTTACATACATGTGAAATGTTAGCTGTGATAGGTGTCTTGGGTGTGAACAGTTTTTTGGGTTGATTTTTTTGGGTTGATTATAGTTTGCAATAAAAGTTCTGAGTAGGTATATCAATATATATTTTCACAATATACTATGGGCTTGCTATACCAGTATGAGTGGAAATATATGACTGGTGTGTGTACATCAAGAAATAACATGGGAAATATGGCGAAGCTACAGTCAATGCACATGTAGTTGCACCTGTGCGCTTGTGATAACAAGATGTTTAACGTTTGCTAATAAATGTTGAAACGAATTTCACAACCTTTTATTATGATGAAACCTGAAGAACTGCCTCTACTCCATCGTAATTATCACGCCAGTGAGAGAGAGGAAAGAGAGAAAGAGAGAGGGAAAAGAGTACGAGGGACGAAAGAGAGAGAGAGAGAGAGAGAGAGAGAGTGAGAGAGAGAGAGAGAGATAGAAAAAGAAGGGAGAGAGAGCGAGGAATGAGGGAGAATAGAGAAAACGAGAGAAAGAAGAGTGGAAGAGAAGAGAGAAAACGAGAGAAAGGAGAGTGGAAGAGAAGAGAGAAAGAGCAAGAGAAAAGGTAAAAGAACGAGAAGGGAGAGGGAAGAAAAGAGACAGAGAGAGAAAGAGAGAGAGAGAGAGTAGAGAAAGTGAGAGAGGGGGACGACAAAGAGAGGAGGGAGATTTGACATTTCCGTCTAGGTGGCTTTGTTTCAGACAGATCTATTATATACAGACAGATGTCTGTGTAATCACTAATCAGCAGCTCTCCTCACTAAAAATATCCGATACAGCCGCAGCCGAGTCCATATATTCCAACGCTATATAGATTGATTTCTCTCATACTGTATAAGCGAAATTTATTTGATGGAATATCACTGTCTCCGTGCATAAAAGAAAAAGAGTTCCATTCCGAGCCGAAGTGCGTTTTACAGCGAGACGAAAATAGTTTATTTCCAGTTGAGTTGTTTCTTGATTAAATTTCCGCGTCTAATGAATCGAGTTTGGTTCGAATTTACTTCTTGCTGATGGCTGAAGCATTGCAAATTAATTCGCAAAGTGTTTTCTATATTATTCTATGTGCCGTACGACATAGGCCTACTTTGAGTTTAAATGTAAAGTATTTCAATTATGAATGACTCTATCTTAACTAAGATATAATTCAATTGAGTGCACAGTTTCAGTGATTCATGAAGTGCGTTAATATAGTAGAAGCCTCACTTAGAAAGCACTTGTGATCACCGCAAAGTGATAAACCTCTACTAAATCTGAAGAAATGATGTGCTGTGTGGCTTTGTAGCCTACCAGCAGCGTCATCCATAGCAATTCATGTCAAAATTCGTTAAAGTCTCATTTAACGGACCGATTGTAGATGGTTGAAAGTCGCCCTGGCGCTGACAAATCGGTTAGAGGTCGTTCAAGGTTAACACGATCCATAACCGTCACGGGACTGACTTCCTGCATCACGGGATTCGGCTGCCATCGTGCGCATTGATGAACGGGAAATTATCACGACCGCCAATATATATATATATATACGGCGTTCCCAGCAAAACGGGGAAAAATAGTATCTAGTAGAACGCGTGTACGGTTCATACCGTGCACGAAGTGATCGGCTGCTACACCAAATTAGGCCTGTGCTACTTCCCCGTTTCGCTAGGAACACGGTCGTGCACAGGGTCCGTAAGTCGAGTAAGGTTCGGGGTGTATTGTGTTCCAGGCCATCGCGAAATTCCTTTACGTTTGAGCATTTACGTTTACGGATGGTTGCTTTCACCAGCTGTCTTCTATTCGCTCCGCGCTATTACATTCAGTAAGAGCCAACTCGGGTCGGCACTAAAAACCGCAAGTTTCCAGAGTAATTAGCAAAAATCACTAAAATGAAACCAGAATTTTTACGACATTATCAGTAACTTTGTTTTCAGGCTGGCCCAATTCGGTTAACACACTAGACATGTAGATATATGTATAGTTCACATAGCACACATTATTGAGGTATTGAATCGCTGTTTTTTGCCTTCGGGTTGCTGATTGATGGTATTGGGAATGATTAATTAATTAGTAGTTGGTGACCATGCAGCGACTTTCCCGGCGGGTTCTGCCAACGCGTATTTCCAACTGCAGCAGCACGCTACTAAAGTGACCGCGGTGTGGACGAGGATAGCCACTTATCGATGTGTCGAGTCGCATTTATGCTCGAGTTTCTTACACCGCTCACCGATCTAGTGGTTGAGGTATGCGTACGTACATGCGGGCTTTGACGCGTGCGTAGGTGTGTGCGAGCGAGCGTGCGTACGTGTTTCTGTGCGCATCGAATATATAAATATTTATATTCAGTTATAGGTGTATTAGTATAACATGATAGAAAGAAATATATGCGCTATTCATATTCCCGTAATATTATTTTCGAACTTAACTATAGCTCGGTTAGCTGGAAAATCGCGACATCATATCATATTCACACTTCCTAGATATGGTGAGAATGCATCGTGTCTTTCAACTTCGTTACTATACTGCAAATCTATGTATACACGTATCGCGTAAAATGATCGCGCACTTATATTATCTTTCTTGTGATGTTTTGCTATTCGCACCGACAGCAGTCGACCGACAGCATAGAGTTATGTACAGACCTAGGAGCTAGAAGCAGAGAATGAACGGTAGCGGTTGCGTAGAGTTGAAAAGAATAATTTTGAAATCTTATTCTATGCTTCATTGATATGCATCCATAGTACATAACTACTATATAGGGACAATGGACGGGAATAACGTCGCATAAATATCCATACCGATTAACATGGATTAGCATTTAATATGATGATGTTTTAAAACGGTCGTAACCCCAACGGGTTGTTTTTAACACAAAAAAGAGTTGTTGCGAGTTGTTGAGTTGCATGCAGAGATGTTCCGATAAGATAATTTTGCGTGTAACGAATAATTTTGTGTTCGGTGAAAATCGTGACATCTCCTATGAACCTTATTATATTGATCACATAGCTATGCGTGTGACCTTCCTTTTCCGGTTATCTCCACTAGCGGCTCGTTAATGCATTAGCACCGACGCGAGTGTACGATTTATCGCTGTGCTCCGTTATTGACAGAGAAAGAATAGCTGTAGTGTTTGTTCAATACGAACTGTATGTGAATGGCACATTGTGAACGCGTATATATCCATCCGACCCTTTCGTTTTTCTCGCGCTGGAAGCGTTGAGTAATGAACTATACTAGCTTTCATCGCGCACCGAGAGTCTAGTTACCTCCGCCAGGGGCGTGACGGAGGTTATGTTTTCACCGGCGTGCCATTGAGTGTTGGTTTGTGTGTGTGTGTGTGTTACCATGCACGTTTCAGTTCACTTCCGCTAGGTGCGCTGGCTGTAGAATTACAAACACAGGCTAAGGGGCAACCACAGTCCTCCCCCACCTGCACGCTCGCACTAATCCGGATCCAATAAATTATTTAATTAATTAATTAATTTTCCCACTTAATTAATTAATTAATTAATAAAAAATTTCACATTGAGAGAATTCAGCTGTCTTGGCGGAGGTCTGTGCTCTCCGAGTGCTCTAGTTGGGTATATTTCAACACGCTGGCACGTAACCCGTGTTCATCTCAAAACATGTATTAGTTCACCCCATCAAACGCAAGAAAACGCACATATAAAATATAAAGGAAGCAAGTATGCGGTGGCACATATCAATAATATCATGAGTACATAACGTACATAAATACAATAACGTAACCTAACATAATATATATAGAAATCATCATGTACCCCATTGTAACATATAATGAGGCGCAGGTCTCTTTGAAAATTGTATCGATAGGCCGTATCTTTTCGGTGTTTCACCGTACTCTTATCAAAACAAGAGCGTGGCGCAGCAGGGATTATTGCGGGAAACCCGACTCGCAAAAATGGCTGCGGAAAAATGTTAGATACCCCAGTGGTCTACGGCGCTCGTCATTATCTTGACTGCTGGTTTGTTTAGTAACCTATAGCGCTTCTTTAACGTGCGATGCGCGCGCGCGCTTTGAACCCGACACCGTCAAGTAGTTGTTATCTTAGCAAATGGCTCGTCTCCAACATTTCGAAATATCCAAAGCATTTGCACCGAAGCGAAAATCGCCCGTTAGAATCTGCCCGCGTGCGTGCATGCGTGCGTGAGTGTTGGTGCGTCGGCATCGTATCACTCGTAGTCGATCGGCGAGCGTCCGTTATTGTTTTACCATGGCGAAGAAGATCGAGATGCGCGTACGAGTGCTCCACGCTCGGGATTCTCACACGATGGTTTGATGATAGTACTACGTCCGCTCGGCATTTGCCGCTCGTTCCCCGCCGTTCCAAGCAAATCGCATTTGAGGTGGAATCATATCTTTCGCTGCGAAATCTCACTACTGCATAGTGAATGAAGCGTACTGTATTTACGAGGCTCACGCACGCACACGCGTGTGTGTATGCATGCGGACAATTGTGCACGCGCGCACACATGGCCCATGGGCATGCACACGCACGCACGCACGCACGCACGCACGCAGACAGAATGAGAGAGAAAGAGCGTATATGCGTGCATGGGCGCGCAAGTGCTTGTGTGTGTGCGCGCGCGTGCGTGCGTGCGTGCGTGTGTGTGAAACGGGGTTGTATAATATATCGATTTTCCGAATACACAAGTAGCCGTTTCGTTTACCTAGAAACGAACTAAAAACAATTATGTATGGCAGGTGCATAGCACGGAACGACTGTCGACATGATTGCAACGATAAGCAGGCTATAGACTGTGTAATGGTACAAATCCAGGGGCCCGTTGTCAGAAACAAAATTAGTCTTAACATTAGTGTTAACATTAACGTTTTCTCTTAGACCGTTGACAGAAACGCTGCGAAGCTGAAACGAGAAGAACGCACGAGAATGAAAAATCGTAGCAGATTTCCTCATAACAATACGAAACAAAGTGATGTCGACGGTCTAGGAGAAATTCTTAATGTTAAGACTAATGTTAAGACTAATTTTGTTTCTGACAACGGGCATCTGGTATTTTGCATGCACTTTGTAATAGACAGGTAATGTGCGCGCTAATGCAGGCAAAAGCCCCCGCCAATTTAGCTGGAATTGCAATTCGATGTTTGTTGACATTGAGTTTTGCCGGGCGCTGAAACACATAATGATCAATTGTAACGCGGCTATAGGACCGAGCGAGGATAGCCAGCAACTATCGCGACGCCTGCTTTTATCGACGGCCGTTGCCAACGCCCGTCGACACGCGGTCTGTTGGTCGGCGTCAGGTAAGCCG